CCATTATCGAAGACTAAGAGGGAAATTTCGAAGTCAAGTTCTGTCGTCTTTCTTCATCTTCTTTCTCCTTCACATTTAGTCACTACTCTCATGGCTTTCTCAAAACGTCACACACAAAACCTCAGCTTCTGGAGACAAGGTATCCCGAAACATTGAATCGTACTTTGGGTTTTGAACCGCACACGATTGTGTTGAGTTTACCAAATCAGCTGCTGGGATGTGGCGGTTTCCTACAGTTCCCGACAAGTATTGCATCTATAGAGGCCCGCAGCGTTTGCGTAGAGTAAACCCAGAAGCGTACACTCCTCAGTTGGTCCTCATTGGACCTCTTCACCATTCTTTAAAATCTCAAGCCCTCGAATCTCTTGGAGATATCACAAAGACAACGATAATGGGCTACTTAAACATGGAGGAGTATAAGAAGATTTACTTGGCAAAATTTGCAGAAAGGGTTGATGGAGAAAACACCATTGATGGATTCAGAAGAATAATCGAAGAAGACAGAGAGAGAATCAGGTAAAGCTACTCAGAATCAACGTCATGGATTGAATCTCCAGAGTTCGTGGAAATGATCTTACTCGACTCCGTTTTCATACTAGAGCACATGTTGAGGATTTATGATGTTTACTATAAAGAATCAAGACCCAAGGAAACAGGGAAAACAGGGGATCTTATAGTGGACGACCCTTGTCTTCATGCCACTGTTAAGGAAGACCTAATGTTGCTGGAGAACCAGCTTCCTTATTTCATTCTTGAGAAGCTCTTCGGTCCAATCGTCCCACGACTCGACCCAGACCAAACATTCCGCAATTTAATCCTCGATTACTTTGGTTCCCGAGGTAAAATCAGTGATGACTCTAGATTCATACATTTCACTGATATGTTCCGATGTGTTGGCTTAAACAGTTCATCTGGCCCAGAAGAACCATCAAAGACCATATTCATACGTTTAGCTGATATATTCCGATATGTCAACATGAAGACATGTGGGTCAACAAAACAACCAACTATCAACTCCAAAGATTTATTTCTCAAGAAGAAAGATGAGAGTAAAGCAGTAAACTACGTGAGAAGCTACATGAGAATCAAACACATGTATAACGCGGCAAAGCTACATAATGCGGGAGTGAAGTTCGTTGTCATGAAAAATCAGTTCGCCATGGATCTAAGATTCGATAATGGTCGTTTGAAGTTGCCTTCTTTGTGGTTTGATGAATATATGGAGAGCATACTGAGAAATATAATGGCGCTTGAGCAATGCCATTACCCTTCCAACGCTCGTCTATGTAACTTCATCACTTTCTTGGATTTCCTCATCGATAGTGATGAAGACGTGGACTTGCTCTTCGTGAAAGGTAGTCTTTATGCTTTTGTGTGTGTATATACCACTGTTCTAAAACGCAGTCTAAGTGTCACTTAAGC